CCACGCAGGCTGCCCCAGCACGGGGCAGGAGGGGCGCCACGCAGGCTGCCCCAGCACCGGGCAGGAGGGGCGCCCGCCGGGAGGCTCGCTCCTCCTCCCCGGGACGGGGCCACCGCTGCTAGTGCCCAAGCCCACAACATGCTCCTAGGACAAAGCTGGGGCCCTTTCCAGGGGGCTGGGCTTGATACACCCCAAATAAACACCCCAACGTGCCCCACACGAGCCAGGAGGAGGCCGCTCAGGACGGGAGGCACCGGCGGCCTCCGCTGTCCATGGTGCTGAAGTGGCCTGGCCTGGCCAAGCGGGCAGGGCTGGGGGGAAGGGGAGGGCTGGGGTGCACGGGGCTCGGCTGCCCCCACCCCCAGCGTGGACCCGCCTTCCCAGAGGCCGCTCTCCCACCCACCCGCCCCTTCCCACGCAGGGGGTGTGGGGGAAGAGCGGGACACTGCTCTCCTGGGGAAGGGGGTAGCGGCCGGCTCCCGTCAGCCCAGGTGAGGTGGTGCACCCATGCGGGGCGGACGGCCCGGTCACCCCTGCACGGAGGCCCACCACTGGCCCACCCCGCTACGGCCCTGAGGGCTCCCTGCGCATCTGAGCCCGCTGGGCTCCGCGGGGCCTTGCCGTCCTCAGGATGCTGTGACCCGGGATGGCCCTGACCACTGCCCCCGTCTTGTTGCCACGCGGCCTGGCCTGGCCCAGGCTGACATGCTCCCCGTCTGGTGGCTCACACCCAGGCTAGACAGCTGGGGGTCAATCTGCCACTTGACCTCTCTAGACTCAGTTTCTCCTCAGTAAAACGGGAGGAGCCAACATCTTCCCTCAGACGCTGTCCCTCCCACACAATGACATCCTCCTGACACAGGCTCCGCCCCTGGACCCCGTATGTGGGGAGAGGGATGGGGGGAACAGGACGGGTGTGGGGGGCAGGCGAGGAGGACCATGGGGGGCGGAGCCCGGCACCCCCACCCAGGGGACCCTCAGAGGCCCAGAGCCGTACAGCAGACCAACAGCCACGCTAGCTGGGGCCAGGGTCAGGGGTCTCCACGCCCAGCCACTGCCCTGCCCTCCCATGGTCAGGACAGCCCCCCCCCCCGCCGCCGGGGCGCGCTGGGCAGCGGGAGGATTAGAAGGATGAGCTCCCCCAATCCCAGCTGCAGCTCTGCTCAGGCGGCTAAGCTCCATTAGACCAAATCCACAACAGCTTGACCCGTAGGAGCAGAGGGGGGCCTGGGATGAGGGACCGGAGCCTCACGGAGACCCCACCCACCCCACAGCACCAGCCGACTCACTCCCAGGTCGGTGTGCGGGAAGCATCACCGCCGGCCACGTCCTCCAGCTCACCACGCGGGGGCCTCACCCTCCTTCACCACGCGGGCCCGCCCCTCCTCCCTCACCACGCGGGGCCCGCCCCTCCTCCCCCCACGTCCTCCAGGGCAGCCAACCTTCCTTTTCCAGTTTGCTCGAGGAGGAAGACACGTTTGTGATGGAGGAAGCCGGTCCCACAGAGAGCAGCGTGGCCAGCAGGCAAGGCCACGTGCAGGTGTCTCGGGGTGCAGCTGCCCTTGCCGCTGGGAGATGACGCGGAAGAGCCCAGTGAGGCGGTAAGATCCTCACGCCACCGAGAATCCCAACAACACGTGCTGGCAGGGATGTCGGGGGGAGGTAAACTCGCACGGCCACACCGGGTGGCTATTTGGAGAACGTCCCCAGGACCAGCCATACCACTCTCACACTCAGCCAGGATGCTGGAAAGATGCTTGCACACCCATGTTCCTCGCTGCATATTCACAAGAGCCACGCTGTGCGGCGGGCCGGACACCCTGCGATGGCTGAGCGGACCAAGCGTGGTGCAAGGGCGTTCACTCATCTATTCGCTCATCCTCAGCTCAGAGACCACCAGAGGACAGGGCTCCGGCTGCTGGAGCACGGGGGGACCCCGCACCCGGGCTGGCAGAGCCCCTGCCAGTCCAGCGCAGGCTCAGGGCCTGCGAGACTCCCCTCTGCACCAGGCCAGTGGCAGGGTATCTGGAGATCCTGGAACACCCCAGGGAAAGTCACACACGGGGACAGGTGTGCACACGGGCCCCTCCTGGAAGGGTCTGGGGGGCGCGGGGCCTGCGGCTGGGGCCTGCCCCGGGCCCTCCTCTCAGAAAGACTCAACAGGTTATGGCTGGGGACCCACACCTCAGCCTGCACCCTCAGGAAGGGCAGAATGGAGCCAAGTCTCGGACCAGGAGGGGGAAGCAGGGGGACCTGGGGGCACAGCCAGGTGGACAGACACCCCCAGCATCGGCCTGCAGAGAGCCTGGCTGCTTCCTCCCGGGGCGGCATTTGAGCTGTGCTCAGAGGGGGCCTGGGCAGGCCCATAGGCTCTGGCCTGAGCTAACACCCTGAGCTTGGGGCCTGGGTGAAGTGCCCATGGCTCAGGGCGAAGAGGGCATCCGGCCCAGGGGCCGGTGGGACAGACAGCGTCCGGGGGCCCGCGGCAGTCCCGTGGGCTCTCGTCCGGGCGCTAGTTTCTAGGACGTGCTGATTAGGAAGCTCCTCTTCCTTCCCAGGGCTGTTGCTGAACCCGCAGGCCCACAAGGGCCAAGTGCGAGGGGATCCCCGGGTGGCTGTCACTCACGGCCAGGCCAGCCTGGCCGCCGCCGGACCCCGGGCCGGCCCCACCCCACCCTGGAGCTGCAGTCTTCTGGAGAGGAACACGCTGGGGGCAGGTGGCTGGAAGGAGGAGCGGCTGCGTGGACAGGGCTGGCCGGCCTGCGTGGGGGCCATCGTACTGCACAGGAAGAACTGGGGGGGGGCAGTAGGTCCGCGTGCCCGTCAGCCCCCTGCCCGGCTCTGCCAGGAAGTCGGTGCTCTCGCGCTGGCTGTGGTGGGACCCAGCGGCCCCCAGCCCAGTCCCGCAGTTCTTGGAGCCCCGGCTCAGCGGCCTGAGGTCACGTGAGGGGGCAGGGAGGGGAGGGGGAGGCCCAGCTGCCTGGGCCCTCCTCCACGGCCAGCCTGGGCTCCACAAAGCCGGGGGGGGGCAGAGGAAGCCGGGGGGGGGGAGGTGCTCTCCTGGTTGACCCCTCCCGGGGCCGGGGTCTTAGGCCGCTATGGCCCCTTATGACCCTGCTCTGCTCCTTCCTCAGTACCCGCCTGGGAGCCCCCACCCCCCACAGCCTGGCCTAGGAAACATGGCCGGACAGCTGGGCCTGGGCCTGAGTGACTCGCCCAGCTTGGCCGGGCCGGGAGGGAGGTGAGCAGGCCAAACATGGAGCTGTCTGCGCTCCAGCGCTCGGCTGGTCGCAGGGGGGGCGCCCCCCGCGGGAGCTCCGCCCCGCCGCGCAGGGCTGCGGTGCACCCCTCCACAGGCCCGCTCCACCGCAGCGAGCTGCTCAGGCCCAGATCCTCACCGTGCCAGTGGCGCCTGGGAAGTTCATCCCAGGCCCTGCTGCTGCCCAAGCCCTTCACCGCCAGGGCCAGGACCCCATCCACTCCGCGCAGCCGCGGCACACCGCCGAGAGCCTGGCGGGGTCACGGCCCCTCTGTCGTGGGCACAGGGAGGGGTGGGCAGCCAAGTGGGGGGCCCTCTGGGCAGCCCAGCCTGAGCCAGGGGATGGGGACCTGCGTGCACACTGCCTGCTACTCTGTGTGCCTCGTGACAGACACGTACGCACGCACACGCACGCACACATGCATGCACACACGCGCACACACACGCACGCACGCACACACACGCACGCATGCACACGCACACACACGCACGCATGCACACGCACACACACACGCGCACACACACGCACGCATGCACACGCACACACATACGTACGCACGCGCACACACACGCACGCACACATGCACACACACGTACGCACATGCACACACGCACGCACGCACACACACACACGCACGTACGCTCCTGGCCTGGACACAGGGCTGGACCTGGCCTTGCAATCCCTCCCAGGGGACGGGTGGGAAGGAGCCGAACACGGGCCAATAGCTTCCTCTAATTGTGCAACCATTTAAAAAACATGCTAATTAGGCGGAGTGCTAACGTCTCTGCTTAGCGCTTAATAAAGAGCTTGATTCCGGATCTTTTCAAAGCATAATTGAGCGGAAAAGC